CTTGAGAATCGACTTGAGAATGGTCCAGGACGGACCGAAGCGTCGTCGTCCCTTCAATTTCTAGTGTGTGGTCTGGTCATCATCATTTTCATTTTCTGATTCGATTATTTGTCTTCATATTCTATTGCATCTGTGTCTATATCATTCCCTTTCCTAACCTCATCACCTTGCCTGGACTAGAGTCAGGCAGACATTTTTCAGACTATTACCCTGGTCAGTACAGGCCCTGCGGAAGTATTCTACAGTCCTTCTCAGTTCTGATTTTCTTTACAAAATGTTGATAGGTTCACACAAGCTTGTGAACAGTTTACAGGGGAATCCTACCTCGTCAGTTCAATTAGTGAAGTGGAAGAGTGTGTGTGGGTCCTTGTGTTAATACCTATACTGTGCTCTGGGTGTTGAGTCCCGATGATGTGCTATCTTCCTACTCTCTCTCCTGCTTCGTGCTTTCTCTCGGGTAGTATGGGAACCCCGACTTTTGGAAGTGAGAGTCACTTCGTTTGGTTTATCCTCGGTACAACTTTGGTTAGCTATCTCTGACAATTTTTTTCAAGCTCAGTTTGTTGCTGGGTCGCACGCACGAGTATACATACTACGGGAATTGAACCTCACTTCGTTGGAAGACAGAAGAGTTAGGGGGGACATGATCACCACATTCAAGATTCTGAAGGGAATTGATAGGGTAGATAAAGACAGGCTATTTAACACGAGGGGCACACGCACAAGGGGACACAGGTGGAAACTGAGTGCCCAAATGAGCCACAGAGATATTAGAAAGAACTTTTTTAGTGTCAGAGTTGTTGACAAATGGAATGCATTAGAAAGTGATGTGGTGGAGGCTGACTCCATACACAGTTTCAAGTGTAGATATGATAGAGCCCAATAGGCTCAGGAATCTGTACACCTGTTGATTGACGGTTGAGAGGCGGGACCAAAGAGCCAGAGCTCAACCTCCGCAAACACAACTAGGTGAGTACAACTAGGTGAGTACATCCTACCGACTTTCCTGAGCCAATATCCGGCGAGGATCTCCACCGCGGGATAAGTCTTACCGGCCAGGTTCTCCACCGCGGGATAAGTCTTACCGTACAGGTCCTAACTCTCCTGTCCTCGCCTTTCATGGTGGAAGCTTTACAGCCAAAATACAAACAAACACTCAAAAAAAAAATCAAAATGTATATTTAGGTAAGGTACATACATACAAGAGATTTTACAAAGAGTGATGGATTTATAGTTAGGGCTAGTACATACAATGCCTAAAGCCACTATTACGCAAAGCGTTTCGGGCATAAAAAACTTAAATGACTAAAGCTTAATACTAATTGAGCATAAAGAGTAAAATGAAAACATGGAATGAAAACATAGCTGAAAAAGCAGCACAAATACAATTCTGTCGACAAACAGCGCTCTTTAAAAAAAAAAAAAAAACCAGACATTGGATGACATTAGAGGGGTAAGGTAGGTTACAGTGAATTTATTAGGTATAGCTTCGTTTTTATCTTAAACTGGTTGAGAAAGGTACAGTCTTTAACATGGTTAGGAAGGTCATTCCACAATCTGGGTCCCCTGATTTGTAGACCATTTCTAGTTTGATTAAGTCGTACTCTAGGAATATCAAAACTGTATTTATTTCTGGTGTGGTGCTCATGGGTTCTGTTACAATCTTCTATGAAGCTTTTGAGGTCAGGATTGGCATTACAGTTTAGCGTTTTATATATGTATAATACACATGAGAGAATGTGCAGTGACTTAATGTCTAACATATTCAGAGATTTGAGTAGGGGTACCGAGTGATGTCTGGGGCCAGAGTTGGATATTGTCCTAATAGCAGCTTTGTGTTGAGTAATTAGAGGACGTAAATGATTTTGGGTAGTAGAACCCCAAGCACAAATACCATAGTTGAGATATGGATAGACAAGGCAGTAATAGAGAGTCACCAGGGCAGGGCGGGGTACATAATATCTGATCTTAGAAAGAATGTCAACAGTTTTTGAAACTTTTTTTGATATATTTAGAATGTGGCCCTGGAAATTCAGTTTGTGGTCAATGAGAATGCCAAGGAATTTGCCATCTAATTTGTTGCAAATTTGGGTATTGTTTATTTTGAGATTTATTTGATTAGAGGATTTATTTCCAAACAGAATATAGAAAGTTTTGTCAATGTTAAGGGTGTGTTTGTTGGCAGTTAGCCAAAGATGGACTTTATCTAGCTCAGTATTTACTGTGGCATTTAGAGCAAGGGGGTCAGGACTGGAGTAAATGAAGGTTGTGTCGTCAGCAAATAGAATTGGTTTGAGGTGTTGGGAGGCATTTGGAAGGTCATTAATGTAGATGAGAAAGAGGAGAGGGCCAAGTATGCTGCCCTGAGGAACACCAATGTTGATGGGTAGGATGGGAGAAATTGAATTATTCACAGAAACATACTGCAGCCTGTCAGTAAGGTAGGATTTGAGGTATTGCAGGGAGTGTCCTCTGACTCCATAATGATGTAGTTTAAGAAGAAGGTTTTGGTGGTTGACAGTTTCAAAAGCTTTACGCAGGTCCATAAATAACCCAACAGGGAAATCATTTTTATCAAGAGCTGTATGAATCGAGTTAAGCATCCTAATAAGTGCATCATAAGTACACTGACTTTTGTTTGTGCCTGGAACATTTAGCAGGTTTATGGTGCATTTTATTTCATCTCTTGCAGATGCTGTTTGGTTAATGTTACCTGAGGTGTTTAGTTACTGTGACCTGAAGTGTTTAGTTACTGTGACCTGAAGTGTTTAGTTACTGTGACCTGAAGTGTTTAGTTACTGTGACCTGAAGTGTTTAGTTACTGTGACCTGAAGTGTTTAGTTACTGTGACCTGAAGTGTTTAGTTACTGTGACCTGAAGTGTTTAGTTACTGTGACCTGAAGTGTTTAGTTACTGTGACCTGAAGGGTTTAGTTACTGTGACCTGAAGTGTTTAGTTACTGCGACCTGAAGTGTTTAGTTACTGCGACCTGAAGTGTTTAGTTACTGTGACCTGAAGTGTTTAGTTACTGTGACCTGAAGTGTTTAGTTACTGTGACCTGAAGTGTTTAGTTACTGTGACCTGAAGTGTTTAGTTACTGTGACCTGAAGTGTTTAGTTACTGTGACCTGAAGTGTTTAGTTACTGTGACCTGAAGGGTTTAGTTACTGTGACCTGAAGTGTTTAGTTACTGCGACCTGAAGTGTTTAGTTACTGCGACCTGAAGTGTTTAGTTACTGTGACCTGAAGTGTTTAGTTACTGTGACCTGAAGTGTTTAGTTACTGTGACCTGAAGTGTTTAGTTACTGTGACCTGAAGTGTTTAGTTACTGTGACCTGAAGTGTTTAGTTACTGTGACCTGAAGTGTTTAGTTACTGTGACCTGAGGTGTTTAGTTACTGTGACCTGAAGTGTTTAGTTACTGTGACCTGAAGTGTTTAGTTACTGTGACCTGAAGTATTTTAGTTACTGTTACCTCAACAGTTTACTTACGGTGAAGTTGGCTGAGGAGACAGTTGAGAATTACGTAATACTCAGCTGAACCTAAACAAACTAGTTATATATTCAGAGAAATTGCTGGTCGACGCTAATCAAATTAAATGCAAGGTGACAAGATTTGGCAGCGTAATGAGGAGACTAGAGAGAGAGGGAGCATAACGTGACGAGAAGGCACCTGCTTGATCCAAAGAGAACGATCTGGGAGAAGATATAACCTCAAGTTTAAGAGGCAGATGTTACCAGGCTAACATCAGCGCCGTATGCAATGCTGGTGACCTATTATCTTATTGGCTCGAAAACGCTACGAGGGGTGACTGTAAGAACAGTAACCTCGGATCGATAACGACCTCGCAGCTTTCCCAAGCTCGTAAACTGTTTAATAAATACAAACTAACGCGACATAATCGAGGGAGGATGTAAAGTTTTCGTTAGTGGTTGCGTAAATGCTGGATAAATCGTGGTTCAGGAAATGTAACACGTACGTTAGACCAGTACTGGGATGTGTATCCCCGTGTGGTGGTGTGCTTCTGAACCAGCCCGGCCTCTTGAACACTACGTCACATTTTGACGGATAAATCCCCTAAGGTAATTTTTTTATTATCAGGGGAAAGCGTCAAGCCATTACGACTTTATAGCACTTGAAAGGGGTCAGGATAAGGATTTAGGATTTGACGGGGGGGGGGGGGGTGGAGGGAATGGTGCCCAACCACTTATGGATGATCGGGGATTGAACGACGACCTGCATGAAGTGAGACCGGCGCTCTACCGTCCAGTCAAAGTGGTTGGGTCACGTAAGGTGAGTTTTTGACACAACAAAATCAAAGCGACTCGCAATTTTGACCTGATTTCTTTTGTATATCGTGGGTCCTCCGTGAGCAATTTAATACATCTTTTTTGTGTCGTACTTAATATCCACATAATCAAACTACAGAACATCATAAGGTCATCTGCAAGGTTGATGCTTGAACTGGTCTACGGGAAAGAGAGAAGGGAAAGAGGGGACATAATTGCGATACCTAAGATTCTTGGAGGTATTGTATTGGTGAACCTAAATATTTGACATGAATATGTACCGAACGTGAAGACCTGAGCAGAATGTGTAGGCATGAGCGGCCACAAGAAACTCAGATGATTTAAACGTATGTCTAAAGCACTTATTCAGTGCAGGTGTAGTTCATATGAGGAATAAGCAGGAAGGTAAGATAGTTTAATCTAACTCCATGCATGAAAAGCAGCTATAAGACGAAGCAAAAAGGATTGGAAGCAGAGATTGAGAGGCGGGGCCCCGGAGCTGCGGCAGCAATCCCTGCAAGCAGCAATCCCTGCAAGTTAGTAGAGCCACAGGCACACAAAGACCTTGACACTAGTCGGGTTGACGGCCATAACCTGGCGTGACACAACACGTATCAGGACAACGAAGACATTACTCCAATTTCCAGCCTGCGCAAAAAACATCCCGCGCGCCTTTATGGCTGCTAGCCGAAGCTAGTGCTTCATTTGTTACCTGTGGTCCCGCGCCCGCGCCCTCGACCTCCTGCCCCCAATGTCTTCAGCTGCCCGCAGCACCAAGCACGCCCCGCCCAGTGGGGACTCGAAGTCACCTCTCAGCACCACGCACGTCATGGTATAAGGGGACTCGAAGTCACCTCTCAACACCACGTACGTCATGGTCTATGGGGACTCGAAGTCACCTCTCAGCACCACGTACGTCACGGTCTATAGGGACTCGAAGTCACCTCTCAGCACCACGTACGTCATGGTCTATGGGGACTCGAAGTCACCTCTCAGCACCACGTACGTCATGGTCTATGGGGACTCGAAGTCACCTCTCAGCACCACGTACGTCATGGTCTATGGGGACTCGAAGTCACCTCTCAACACCACGTACGTCATGGTCTATGGGGACTCGAAGTCACCTCTCAACACCACGTACGTCACGGTCTATGGGGACTCGAAGTCACCTCTCAGCACCACGTACGTCACGGTCTATAGGGACTCGAAGTCACCTCTCAGCACCACGTACGTCATGGTCTATGGGGACTCGAAGTCACCTCTCAGCACCACGTACGTCATGGTCTATGGGGACTCGAAGTCACCTCTCAGCACCACGTACGTCATGGTCTATGGGGACTCGAAGTCACTTCTCAACACCACGTACGTCATGGTCTATGGGGACTCGAAGTCACCTCTCAACACCACGTACGTCACGGTCTATGGGGACTCGAAGTCACCTCTCAGCACCACGTACGTCACGGTCTACAGGGACTCGAAGTCACCTCTCAACACCACGTACGTCACGGTCTATAGGGACTCGAAGTCAACTCTCAACACCACGTACGTCACGGTCTATGGGGACTCGAAGTCATCACACAATCCAGCTCACGTGTCTACGCGACGCTTATCTTTTCAGTCTCATTTCAACAGCTCAGGTATCTGGCAGCCACATGTGTATGTAGCTCACCACACACCTGCTAAAGCACACGTGGAGGTGATGAGCAGCGCCGTGTGGCCGCAACACACCAAATGCACAAGCACTTCGAACTTGTTTAATGCATCCAGCTTAAAGGAGAAGGATCATTCCGGTGTGTAGCGCTGGGCAGGACTCCCAGACACTTCCTGGCACCACATTCCCGAGCTGGCAGTACAGTGACGTCCTACAGCACTACACTGGCATCCCTCACAACCCCCTCTCACCTCACAACATCACACCGGCGTCACCATCATCTCCTCACACCTCTCAACATCTCGCCAGCACCACCGACAACCCCTCACGCCTCACAAGGGCCACCTGGAACCAACCCAATATTTACAACAACATAGCTCCCTTCTTAGTCACTCTGACCTTACCAAAGTACACAGAAAACATAACAATTGGACTGTGTCCCAAGGAAACGACACGGAAGAAAATAAACTTGAAATCATTAGCTGTGTTCCCAGGTGGTGGTGGAGCCTGTGGCGAGCCAGCGGGCGGGGGGGGGGGGGGGGGGGTAAACCTTCTTTACCACCTTGACCCCAACGTTATGACCAAGCCTTGACCCCAGTCATCTGACCTTATGACCGGTCTTGGTCAATATCGGTGAGTTTCAGTAAGTTCGACAAACGAACATTTAATCTTTTATCAGAGTATTGTGAAAAATCCTTTTTTGTTTATATCACAACATATTTTTATTTATTTTTATCCTCGTCCAGTCACTTGGACTGATTTGTACAGCGACGGCCTTGTTACTTGTAGGTTGGCGTTCGATATCCGATGGTCCAAGTGGTTGGGCATCATTCCTTCCCCTCTTATCCTGACCTCTTCCAAGTGCTATGTAGTCGTCATGGCTTGGTGCTCTTTCCTGATAACTCCCTCCTCTCCTGCGGGTGATGGTGATGCAAAACACGGAACTCTGATCGAACATGTCAAGGCTGGCAGTGTGTAGTGTCTGAGGTCACGGGAGGACAGGGAGAGGACGGTCATAGGGAGTAAGAGAGAGAGACACGCATCCTACATTCAAGTTCACTCTTATTTGATTGACTGACTGACTGGCTGTCTGGTTGGGTGGCTGGGTGGCTGGGTGGCTGGGTGGCTGGGTGGTTGGGTAGCTGGCTGGCTGGCTGGCTGGCTGGCTGGCTGGCTGGCTGGCTGCCTGGCTGGCTGGCTGGCTGGCTTGCTGGCTGACTGACTGGCGGGCTTGCTAGTTAAGTTAACTGATACACTGATTGATATACTAACTTAGTCACTTACTAACACACTCACTCTCTGGCTTGACTCACTCACACATCCACTCACTATTACAGTAGAGGTCATAATATACTCTACATTAGGCACTCTCGAAGACAGAGGGCCCTTTAAGGCTGTCACACGTTAGAGAGAAACTAATGTTTGTTGCGCGCGGCTCTTTAGTATTACAAGTGAGTATTTGAGTGGTTTACAAAGATCTTCCAGGTCTTATATAAAAAATAATAACTTTTGACTGTAACGTTCCATGCTAGTAAACTGTTTAATAAATAAAAACTAGTAGTAGGCATCCATCCGTCTCAGGAGACTATGGAGCTGCGCTCTGGTTGTCGGTCTGGAGTGGCCTAGCTCTCCAGGGCGCAAAACCTGGGTAGGTTGACACGGGGGAGAAGCTGTTACCCATGCAGCAGGTCTCCTCCTCTCCACGGCGCCGAAAGTCTCCAATGGAAATGCAAACACCTTTCCAAACAAAAAGTAATGAAAACTTCTGCTATGATAAACGAAAGATGAACAGGTTTCGTAAATAGACGCGTAAACCCTTGATGAACCTTGGCCCCAGAGACATAGATGACCCAGACAGACACTAATTCCGCCAGTGTTATCTCTGTACATTTAAACATTCAATATTACTGTAAACACAATCCGTCTCTATAGAGAAGCTATTATAAATGAATCAAAACAAGTCAAAAATTAAAAATAGGAAGAACATCTATATATATTTTGCAGATTAATTATAATTAATGACAGGATTCCTTGTTATGCCATTGTTTTTAACTTAAGACAGTAATGCTCTTCCCTTTAGAGTCTGGTAGTTTCGTGAGATTAAGAAAACAATCCAAGAGTCTGACGAAAGTATTGACTTAAGAAGATTCTAATGTAGTATTGACGAATATGAAGTTAATTCACCTAATGAATCCAAATATCAGAGCAACGATGGAGAACACCCCAGGCGACCAACCGGCGTACTGTTTATTTGTGAAGACTGAGAGGATATTGTCAATAGTGTTGGGCCCGGTGGGATCTGGGAAACCAGCGTCAACCCCCGAGGGCGCTGTCACCGTGAAACCCCCAAGGGGTTTCACGGTGACAGTCACTGAGGTTCTGCCATTGTGAATCCTCCTTAGTCTGCACGCCATGGTACCTTTCAACCGCCAGAGAGGAAATTATTTTTTGCGATCGTCTGGATAAAGCCAATTTGTGTTTATATACAGAAGAATTGGAACGAAGCTGGTATGTAGGGTGAGGTGTCTCGTTACAGGTCTGAGCTTCTATTTAAATGGTTCCTTACGTGTTATCATGCTGTTTGTGTCGAGGGATTGAGAGGTTTAAAATTTTGGATGGTTGAGTCATTTTGAGCACGAATCGTGAAATAGTCTTTGATAGTGATAGGGGAACTGTACTCAGGGTGGAGTAGACATGGTGAGGCTGTTGTGGATGGGTTGGCATGATGGGGTTTTGTATGTGGGTGGGCATGATAGGGTAATGTGGGTGGGTTGTAACAGGGATCATACTGTGTGAGGGTTGTACCTGGGTTGTTTGTGCTGTCCACACAATGACCCTTCTTTGCATTCTCGTTCAGTCCTCCATGAAAGCTTCCCGGCCCTCTCACTTCAGACTTACACAAAAGGCAGCTTCACTGCTCATAACAACATTTACAGGGACGTTCCCGCGGACACACTCACCAAAAGAACTCCTCCCCAGGAAAAGGTCACTTACAGCTCTATTCTGCTCAATTGCTGAGCCTTACCGCTCTGAGACCTTCTTCAGTATGCCATACACCTGGCATACATTGACTTCCACATACGCTACTCACCGGTATGGCTCTGCTATCTCTGATGACGTTGTCGCTATCGTTCCTCTTCGTCCTCACTGCTTCTGACTATTTCTTTTAAAAAGCATTTAATGGTGGCTTTTATTCCATTGCCTCTCTTTTACTTACCTTAACCCATAATTTGGGAGTAAAATTTATCGATTGACTTTGTTCCTCATCAGAAACTTATTTCAAACTTTCACTTAGACAACAGGACATCATTAGGGTGAATTATACACCTTAGATTTCTTTCTAGTATTAGTTATAAACTGATGATGCAATATGGATACAGTATATATTTTATTAAAGCAAACGAAACAATTTCTTAAATAAAGTTTAAAAATCTTATCTCTAAACCTTCAGAAAGATAAAGGCTGATATTAAAGGTGCTTTACATATATACATGTATATCTACGGAGTTTTAATTTAATTTAAAATTAAAATTTATGAGAACTTCCCAATCTGTGTTTACTAGAACATTATAAAATATTATTTTTCACAAAAAGACTTCTGATTCAACCTCTGGCAGAGCTCTGTTTCACTCAAATCAAATAAAATGAAGTAAGAAAACTTTATTCAACAGAAGTCGTACATTTACAGTTGAGTTTATACAGAATGAATGTATTAAATAATAGAAAGTCACAAAGACAGCATAGCCCATACACATTAAACCCAAACAATAATACATAGCCCATACACATTAAACCCATAAAATAATACATAGCCCATACACATTAAAACTTTGTAACGTATACATGTGTCCACGAAAATCACTGATCTAGACACCACTCGACGACTGTAATTACCACAGTGAACTAATTTGTCAACGGTAATTAAACTATTTTCATCCACCGAGGGTCTCGGAAATCTAGCTGTGGCCCTCAGCAGGAGAAAGATATTGAATGTATCAGAGGTTCGTCACGAATAGAAAACTTAGAATGGGAGAAGATTCATGTAATATCATCGTAAGATTAGTGAATATTAGATCTTTAAATTATCATCCCATCATCCTAATTACCGCTTTAATTGTCTTACCGCTTTAATGGTAAACTAACATAACAAAAATAAACTAACATAACAAAACTTATGGTAAATTGCGTAACTACACCTTGTTTTTCCAATATATTTCATCTTTCA